CAGCTCCTTTAGGTGTAGGATTAGGTTGTGTACTTGAGACCTTCTTGTTTCTTGAGAAAGGCTTGTATTGCTATATACTTTTCTCTCAGGACTGCCTTTGCTGTGTTCCACAGATTTTGAACAATTGTGTTTTCATTTTCAATTGTTTCCATGAATATTTTAAATTCTTCTTTAATTTCCTGGTTGACCCATTCGTTCTTTACTTTAGCCTCCATGTATTCGAGCTCTTTCCAACTTTCCTCTTGTGATTGAGTTCCATTGTGGTCCGAAAATATGCAGGGAATGACCCCTATCTTTTGGTACCAGTTGAGATCTGATTTGTGACCCAGGATGTGATCTATTCTGGAGAATGTTCCATGTGCACTGGAGAAGAATTTGTATTCTGTTGCTTTGGGATGGAATGTTCTGAATAAATCTGTGAAGTCCATCTGGTCCAGTGTGTCATTTAAAGCCCTTATTTCCTTGTTGATCTTTTGCTTAGATGATCTGTCCATTTCAGTGAGGGGTGTGTTAAAGTCTCCTACTATTATCGTATTACTGTCCATGTGTTTCTTTTATTTTGTTATTAATTGGCTTACATCATCGGCTGCTCCCATTTTAGGAGCATAAATTAGTTATACCATCTCTTAACTTAAAATCACCCAATGGTTTCTTGGGGATAAAATCCAAACCCTTCCTATGACACATAAGGCTTTTAAAGATGTGGCTCCTGCCCCCCTTTCCAACCTTTAATGCCTGCTCCCAGACTGAACATGCAATCCTCCCTCATTTCCAAGCCTTGCACAGCCACTTCCTCTGCCTGGAATGTCCTTTCCCACTATCCACCTAGCAAATGCCTACTTGTTCTTTACTTTTCGTGACACCTTCCATCTCTTCTCAAAGGCCTCCTACTATCTCCAGCAGAGCAGAGTTCTCCTCACCCTTCATGCACTTATAGGTCCTTCTTCACATTTCAGCAGTGCATGAGGGGACCCATGTCCCACCAATTTGAAGACCCCAGAAAGCATGCTATCAGCCTTACTTCCTTCTCTGTCCTCAACACCATTCACAGTACCTAGCATTCAGAAAGTGCTCACATGTTTGCCGAAAAAATGACACTGATGACTTGCAATGAGCCTTATGATTCCAATAACCTAAAATAACAAGTGATAAGCTATTTCTATGACAGAAACTAGTCAGGAAAAAAAGAAGAACTATTGATTTTACTTTAAAAAACAGAGTCAGGAAGCTTAGCATATGAAGCAAACAATTACTAAAAATTAGAGTATATACCACATGTAAAATAAAACAAAGAGAATAAACTCCACTGTCTTTACCCACTCAGTGGAGCAGTTATTCTCAAATATTAGTAGTTAGCAAATCCCAAAGGGAAAGTAAGAAAAGGAAATAGTAGTCACCTTATTTTCTCACATTCTACTTCCATGATTGCTGTATACAAATCAATAAAGATGTAACTGCAGTTATGAAAAAATGAGATTTAGATGTGCTGAAATAAAAAGCATCCATAAATTGCATTAGGTGGGGGAAAAAAATAAACAGGTACAGAATAGTCCATTCTCATTTGCATGGAAAAGAGGGTGGAGAGGATATAAACATATAAGCTTGAATACTCAGAAACTCTCTGCAGTACTAGTAGCCAGCCCCTGTGGATTATAAATAAGGCTCTGAGGCAGGAGGGGGATTTCACTGAACACCCTATTTGAGTCCAAATTTTTACTATGGGCATGCATTAGGTTTTTATCTTTCATATCTAGTTAAAACAAACACAACCCACCTAAGGACTCCTGAAGCACTTGGCTTTTGGCACACTCCCTGTTCAGAACCCAGCCATGGTGCTCTCAGACATCCAAGCCCCAAGGAGAGGCCAGACATGTGTGTTCGGGTCAGCGGCTGGCACGGACTGCGGCTGGGAATGAGCCACCTCAGACATCCAGCTCACTCAAGACTTAAATGACAAGCACTACCTCCATCTGACTGCAATTGTAAGAGAGGCACGAAGTTAGAGCTGCCCAGTGAAGACAAGCCAATCCACAGGATCAGGAGAGAAAGAGAATAAATTGTTTTAAGTCAAGGGAAAAATAGAAAAACTAGTTAAGGATTTCTGCCTTGAAGTGCAGGTTGATCACATGCATTTATTTCTCTTCCGTCCTGATGGTCCACTAAATTAACATTAAAAGAAATTAAGGTGAGGGATGCCTGGCTGGCTCAATCAGTAGAGCATGTGACTCTTGATCTAGGGGTTGTGAGTTCAAGTCCCACGCTGGGTGTGGAGACTACTTGGAAAAAAAAAAAAAAAAAGAAAGAAATCAAGGTAAAAACCCACAGAGTGGGGAAAAAAAAAAACCAAAACCAAAACTGAAGAACTGTCAAGGAAAAGAGAAGATGCATAGCTACAAAATTGGAAGTTGGAAAACAGGGTAACTCTTAGTAGACCTGAGACATCAGGGATGAGTAGTATTTTCTAGAGAAAACTGAACAGAAAAGACTCAGTGGAAAGCCAGGGCACAGCCTAGACTCCTAGAGTACTAAGTAAAAGTCTACTAATAATGAGTGCAAACTCTAGCCAAAACAGTCAACTGTGACAATATTTTTAGAAATGTATGAACATTAAACATTTACCTTCCAAGAACATTTCACAGGAAACTATTGGCAGCCATGCTTCTACAAAATAAGGATGTCAACCCAGGAACTGGAAGATGCAGGATAGAAGAAATGAAGTGGCCAAATTAGGAGGATACTGAGGCATTGGGATACAAGCAGACAGTTCACGGGACAGGACTACAGAGTTTCTAGGACATAGGTCTTAAGGTAAAAAGGAAACTGACACACTGATTTGTGTGAACATTGTGAAAAAACTACCAATACACATTGAAAAGACCCAGAAGAGAAATTAAGGATTCTACATGGAAATTTATAGATGTGGAAAGGAGAAGGTGAAGCAGTTACTAAGTTCAGGAAAAACAAAAAGTTGTGTAAGAATAGAAATGCAATCACAGATACCATTCGGTTCTCCAGGAAGTGATATTTTAGGTATCTATTTAACAATGTCAACAATGACAATAACAGTGTGGAGAAGAAAGGTTATAACAAGAAGTCAATAAGTAATGCCCAATATAAATTAAGAAATGGGCATATTACTTAGAAAAATGGGGAAAAATCTGTAAGTAATGGGGTGCAGGTTATTCTTTACATTGTGTTTTAGAACTGATATTTTAAAATAGACATATATTAATGCTACAAATGATTTATACTTTTACTAATCATAATTTTGTTATTCAGCAATTATAGGATCATTTTAATGCTACAAATGATTTATGTTGTCATTAATCATAACTTTGTTATTCAGGAATCACAAAATGATCTTATGAAATAAGGGTTCAGCAGCAGAAGCCAGGATAGGCACTTTTCGTGCTAATCATTGTTTTTAAAATTCAAAATACCAATACAGTCTTGTCAGTCTACATATAAATTGAGAAGGTATTGAATTCTTCTCTCTTGTAATAGTAAATAATCCATCCCCAAATCTACCTTACTTAACAATGCAAATCAAACCTCTTGGTTGGATAAGTGTGGTAAACCACTCAAAGGAAAAAAATGTTACAAATGTGCTTTGATAAACACAGAATCAGAGTCAAGTGTTCCTGACTCTCCATATTTTAGCTATTACCAGTCGTCATTAATCTCTATAATCATGATTCTTCTAAACTGATTCAAAATTAAAACTGAATACCTAAAATGAGTAATTTCTTATGACCTTGAAAGAACAGTAATAGCTTTCAATATCTTTTCCCAAGAATGGACCTTATTTAGATGCATTAGTAAGGCTCAGAAAACTGGACTACACAAACACACACACACACACGCAAAAACCCTGAATATAAAAAGAGGAAAACTCTTTAGAAAATATAGGTTCCTCCTACCCCAAAAACAATTCTCTGAAAATTACTACTATCATTTCAGATTGTGTTTCACTTTCTGACTTTCTAGATTCAGAAACAAAATCAAAACCAGAATATGAAGGCTTTATTAAAGCAGGAACACCATGAAGAACACAACTGAATAAAATGACATACTTCTAGAGGACTTGACGTACTCCCCCACACACTCTGTATTTCTAGTTTAATGGGAAATAGAAAAGAGTCACCAGTATTGTGTTCAGTTTCCAAAATTGTGCTGAGAAGAATTTATTTATTTAAAAACTCTTAGGAGCTAAAACAGTAACTATTAAGAGCTAAAGTGAAAATTCAAATAAAGTTCATATCCTCCTTTAAAATGAAAAATAGTGGGGGCACCTGGGTGGCTCAGTCAGTTAAGTGTCTGATTCTTGATTTTGGTTCGGGTCATAATCTCAGGGTAGAGAGATCAAGCCCTGAGCTGGGCTCCATGCTCAGTGGGGAGTCTGCTTGAGAGTCTCTCCTTCCCTCTCTCTCTCTGTCCTTCCCCCTGCTCTCTCTCCCTCTCTAAAATAAATACAATCTTTAAAAATAAAATCATAAAAACAGAAGGTAAAGTATACTATAAACAAATGTGTATATATACTTATATATTTATAAATGCATACAAAGGATATATAACAAACCATGTCAGTAAAACTAAATACCCTGATTAATTCTATATGAACACTATTTCCTGGGTACAAATAAAGCAATATATATATATATATATATAAATTTCTTTGTAAATTGTACCTGGTTAACAATCAATAGATATATTTAAGTTTCTTTACTACAATTTCCAAAGAAAATTTTGAAGTCTGTGGACTATTAAAGAACTATGTACTTTTATTAGTCACATGAGGGAGTAACTGCTATTTAAAACCACAATGAGAGAAACACCTTTATACATGGGACAAATAAAAAGAGGAGCTGGGTTAAAATGTAACAAATAAAGGATGTTGTGAATTTAAATCACATAAGTTAAAATAGACATGTAAAATATGTAGCTATAAAATATAAATATGTAGCTATAAAATAGCTACATACCAATACTATTTTCCTTACCTGCCAGATAGAGGGCAAACGATATAAATCTATGGTAGCGAATGAGGAACTGAAGTTGCTCTTCTCTTTGAACAAATGTAGAAAAATAATCAGCCACAGTCTCTCCATAGAAGAAGTAGTTTACACACAGTAGAAAGTACCTATAATTTAAAAACAATTTGCTTTTTAATATTTGAAGGCTTTTTTCCCTCTTAAACTCAACAAAACTATTCTCTACATTTTGATGATGACACAAAGATCCAAAACCAAATTCAGTAGACAGGTTCAAGATATTTCATCAAAACATGTTTTTCTGCTTTTAGTCTTAATTTCAAATGTATCAGTTAACAAAAATTTACTGAATATAGCTCATGCCTCTACTGAGGTAAAAATCATTTTCTTTTTTCTTTTTTTTCTTTACTTAAGGTCAAAGTCTAATGCCAGAGACAGATAACTGGGAAATAACATAAAAAATACTACACATACACAAATACACACGTTCTTTCTCTCACAGACATACACAAAGACACACACACATACACATACACACACATACACATACAGTACTGTTTATAATGAAAATTCACTCCCAACTACTCACAGCTCTAAAGCTTTTTAAAAGTGGAGATCCTATGCCAAATTCCCACTGCCCTAAGGAAGATCAACTGGGAAAGCAGGAAGGGGTAATCCAACCTCTGACCTCACTCTTCACTGCCCTGTCCACACTGGTGTCTTTCTCTCTCTCCCCCATGCTCCAGATGGACTTCAGTGGCACAGTGATGCTTAAGAGGTAAAGCAGCAGGGGCGCCTGGGTGGCTCAGTGGTTTAAGCCTCTGTCTTCAGTTCGGGTCATGATCTCAGGGTCCTGGGATGGAGCCCCGCATCGGGCTCTCTGCTCAGTGGGGAGCCTGCTTCCCCCTCTTTCTCTGCCTGCCTCTCTGCCTACTTGTGATCTCTGTGTGTCAAATAAATAGACGGAATCTTAAAAAAAAAAAAAAAAGAGGTAAAGCAGCAGGTAAAAATCTCTAAGAGAAACTTCTTAAAACTGCATAAATCACCTGTCCCTCCACTCAGCTCTGGTATGCTCTTTCCACCCAGGGAAAGGTTGAACCCATGACATTTCGTTGATGGCAGCTAGTGTGAGCCAGGAAAAAAAAAAGGCTGAGAAACACTGCCTCAGAGTTCCTCTGTGCCTCATCCTTTGAACATCCTTTGAAGGGCAGAGTCCCCGGTGGCTGGGAGAGCAGAGGGAAAAAGGAGCAATTTCTCTTCTACATGTCATGGATGGAATCTGACCCCACTGTTTTCAAAGTAAAGTATGTTCATTTCTTATCAGCTGCATAACCATGTTCTACTCTCCTACAATGGAAACGGTCTTTGACTCCACTGTAAGGCTATCAAGGCCTACTCTAGACCACCAGCCCAACTTTTTGCCCAGTTCCCTCAGGAGAGCCAGGAATGTCTCTCCATATGCGGCACGTGCCTCTTCATTTCCCCATCTAGAACCCCATCTAGAAGCTGCTGGATGCAGCTTCGCCAATGTAAAACACAATTCTCTATCCAAAACTTGTCTTTATTTCAAGTGATAGTTTCTCACCTTTTCCTCTCTGTAAAGATTTCTACAATCACTGGAGCCCATCCCGACCTGACTTTTTTTTCCCCTACACTTAGAATCAATCAATCCCACCTGGTTTAGCATTTAATTATTCTCCAACTGCTTACTCTACCTAACGTTTCCCATAATTTTGCCCTTCATGAAAAAACCTGTTATAAGGAAAAATTAGCTATCACCAAAACTAAGAAACTATTTTTGACGCCTTTAAACCCCAAAAGTGATATATTTGTTTTCTTAAGACACTGGACCCTCTGGCTGATACTAATCAAATAACTATATTCAAAGGCATGGCCAGTTAGGTCAATTATGAACAACCATACTAACATGTTTCCTGGTCAAGGTCCTGATAACTAAAAATTGTACCTGAAAAGTTGTAAAAAGATATAGAAAGCTTTAAATATTTAAAAAAAAAACCCAAAACATTTTATTAAAATCACATGACTTTTTTTAAAACTAATTTTTACATGTATTTAGACCTAAACAATATTTCATGGGCTGGTAATTGCCAGTGCTACTTATAAGGCTGCCTTACATGGCCCCCTCAAAGGGTCTTACTCTTCCCTCGGACTACCCTTCATGTACTGTATCTTGGGGCCAGGGTGTGAAGACGAGATCAAACCAGGAACAACAAAGGTAGTAGTCATCTCTCTTCTCACTGCCCTGTGCAACCCTCACGGCCTACCTCCCTGTAGAGGTACTCATCCTGGGCTTTTCTTACCTTCAACTAATCACTGATCACTCAAAAAACAGAACAGAAAACCCACAACTATTTTCATATTTCATCTTTGTAGAGATAATCTAAGGGTGAGGTCTCATGTCAACCAAGGCAAACTAAAGCAAAAAAGATCACACATATTTCTAACATTTTATAAAATGTAACTTTCTTAAAATTATAATTATAAATGGTATAAAAATGTGCCCAATATAATGTTTTTTAAAGAGGATAATAGTATATATGTGAGTATATACAGATATACAGTAACTACAAAGACTTAAAGATGAGATATGAAAATAGTTGTGTTGGGATGGTAGACTTAAAGGTGATTTTCTTCTTTTCAAAATCTAATGCATTATTTTTCTCTTCCTCCAAAAATCAATCTACATGGTCAATCATGTGGTACTGACTGATCAGGATGCTTCCTTTACAAACTGTAGAAAAGAGTCACATTTTCATATCTGAAACAGTATTAAAATACTTACCAGCTTAATGTTCTAAACCATGGCAGGTCATAAGAACGATAGACTCTATAACCTATAGTGATAATTTCATGGAAGCATTTCACTTGGATGCCTAAAACCTGAAACCAAGAGAACACATTAACATACATCACTTAGTGTTTACATTTGTGCTTCATCGTTTAATATGCACTTTGTTATCAAATGTATTTTAAAAATCTTTAGCCTACCCATTTTTAATTATTCTAAATGTCGGTAGTAGAAATTGAATAGTCTATGCTTCTAAGATCAAGTGATATTTTATTTTTATTTTTTTTTAAAGATTTTATTTATTTGATAGAGAGAGATCACAAGTGGGCGGAGAGGCAAGCAGAGAGAGAGAGAGAGAGAGGAGGAAGCAGGCTCCCTGCAGAGCAGAGAGCCCGATGTGGGACTCGATCCCAGGACCCTGAGATCATGACCTGAGCTGAAGGCAGAGGCCTAACCACTGAGCCACCCAGGTGCCCCTCAAGTGATATTTTAAAGGGGTAAGCAAATCAGTGTTTTATCCAAAAAGTGAGAGCCCCTTCCTGGGGTAGGAGGTGGTGCTATAGCTTAAAGTTTGAGGGATACAGTCTAGTTGGTCACAGAGTAGGCTTTATCTCTCATTACTACTTCATTTCTTGGGTTCATCCTTCCTACAATGAATGATCTTTTTGTCCATTTTGTTTCTTGAGTTACCCCAGGAAAATGATCGTATGTGCAAGTTTGCTTACATATACTTATTTTTAGCCATACATCCTGGTATCCTTTCCAAGGATAAAGATACTGTCAGAACAAATGATTAAAACATCTTTCCCCTGCTACCCAGCAGGGTTTGGGCATGGTTTTTTCATTCTCCCAGCTGTGCCAATTCTCACATAGCCAGGTGCATATATCTCTCATCAATCCAAGTGGTGCTACATTGGCAGATCATAAAACAGCCTTCTACATTTGCAGCCACTTCAGCCAGTCACTGATTCTATACAGTTTTGTTTGCATAGTGTCCTATGTACATTCATAATAAATGGGTTAATATTTATGAAACTTTTTTTGGTGGTCTACTTAGTAGTCCTTCAAACTGTTGTATCCACCAACTGGAGTACAGGTAATCCTTGAGGATGGAGCATCGTAGTCAATGCTTGGCTTAAGTCAATTCTAACACTCAAAGAGCAAGTGGCAAGTTGAACACTTATTACCATGAGCCAAGAAATTAAAATCTTTGTGAATTAAGTAGACTATTTCAGCCTCTAGAGAGTATACCCAAGGGCTTGATTTTTTATAGCTCTAGAGCTAAGAATGGATTTTATATTTTTAAAACAAAACCCAAACATGATGTGACAGAGAAATAATGTGGTTCCTTAGCCTAAAATATTTTTAACTGCTTCTTTACCTAAAAATCTTACCAAACTCTGCTCAAGAAAATACTTTGGTATCTCTTTTATTTTTTACTTTTTAAAAGATTTTATTTATTTGATAGAGACACAGTGAGAGAGGAAACACAAGCAGGGGGCGTGGGCGTGGAGAAGTAGGCTCCCCGCTGAGCAGGGAGCCTGATCCGGGACTCAACCCTAGGACCCTGGGACTCAACCCCAGGACCCCGGGACCATGACCTGAGCCAAAGGCAGACGCTTAATGACTGAGCCACCCACGGGCCCCTACTTTGGTATTTCTTTTAAAGCTCTCCATAAATTAGTTTTCCCAAAGCTACTGGTCAGGATGTTCTTAGGTTGTGTTTACATGTCCAATCATATACTTAAAAGTAATTGTGTCCCCTCAGCCACATGATAAGAAAATATTAGGCCAAACTACTATAAATAGGTTTTTTAAGAAAAAGTCATTACTGCTTTATAACATAAAGACAAGAAGAAATTCGAATAGTGCCTTTCAAATAAGCTTTGAATATAATGTCAAAAGTTATTTTCTAAAATAATTACAGAATGAGGACAATGCTAGATGTTAAAATAAAATGGCAAGTCCATGCTATTTATAGAACCAAGGGCTTTTAAAATATCAGATGCACTGATGCAATTTCTATTTGCTAAATGAACACATTTGCTCAAGAACAACCATTAGTACTATACATGGTGTTTTACTGCGGGGGGAGAAAGCTACTTTTAATAGCACACATATATGACTGTCAATTACAGTTTGCAAGTAGAATCAATACAGAGCTACTGAGAAAAGAGAAAAGGGGGGTGTTCAAAACAACAAAGCTAAAGTCCTTAAAATATGTGTATATCTTCCAGGCTTGGTGATTACACAGAAACTCATATTCTAGGCCATCAATACCGGTAGCAATGCACACTGGTAGGACTCTGTTGGCCCAACATATGTGTTAAGAGCCTTAAAAACAGCAACCAATATGAAAATGCCTACTCTGCTAGTTATTGAGGATTCAGAGAAACAATACAGGACATCTGTCTTCAGAGGGCTAGCCTGTCAGGGAAGACACAAGTGGTTACAACACCACATGGAAGTAGGCACATGCAGGTAAGCACAGCCAGACAGAACACCTGTGGCGGGCACTGGGGACAGGCTGCAGTTGGGACAGAGGAAAAGGATACATAGAATCACAAATACAGGAGAGCATGAGGCATGCTAGGGAACTACAAATAGTTCAGAGCGGCTGAGATACAGGGGTGAGAAGCAGAGAGAGGAAAGCCTGGTTACAGAATCACAGCAAAGAGTATGAAGGACTACACGAAGGAGTTCATCCTGATCACTAAAGGCCATGATCAGATATATGTGCTGGGAATAAGAGAGGTGGAAAGAACAGCCTCGAGAGGCAGCAAGAGTAAAGACAGGAAGGCATGCAAGATACTACGACCCTGTCGAGTGCAGATGACACTTTAACTGGGCCACTGGCAGAGGGGGGTAGTATGAAGAGTAAGACATTGAGGAGAGAGAACTGGCTGGATTTGGTGGTTGAGAAAATTGGGGAGCTAAGGGTGACAGGGGAACATGGAATAAAAGCAGGGGAGGTTTTGGGAAAGTAAACAGATTTATGCAGAATGACTGGGGATGGAACAGAAGTTCAGATTTGGATATGCTGAGTCTGAGTTATGTTATTACGGGTTATCCAAACTAAAGTGCTTATTTTCACTTTGGGAATCTATTCAAAGAAAATAATCCTGCATATGAAAAAGTTTTACGTTCTAATATGTTCAGGATAGTGTTATTCACCATAAAGAGAAACCAAAATAGAGCCTGAATGTCTGAAAATAACACAGTAGTTCATAAGTTATGATGCATTCCACTCCACTGAATCCATGAATGTTTTAAACTTGACTGGGGGAGGGTGCCTGGGTAGCTGTTGGTTAAGGGTCTGACTCTTGGTTTCCATTCATGTTATAATTTCATTTTTGTGGGATGGAGTTCCATATCTGGCTCCAAGTTGAGTGAGGAGTGTGTTTCAGATTCTCTCTCCCTCCCCTCTGCTCCTCCCCCTGCTCCTTGGCACACATGCATGCTTTTTTTTTTTTAAGTTTTTTTTTTTTTTTTAAGATTTTATTTATTTGACAGAGATCACAAGTAGGTGGAGAGGCAGGCAAAGAGAGAGGAGGAAGTAGGCTCCCTGCTGAGCAGAAACCCCGGTGCAGGGCTCGATACTAGGACCCCGGAATCCATGACCTGAGCCAAAGGCAGAGGCTTTAATCCACTGGGCCACCCAGGCGCCCCCAGGCTCTCTCTTTTAAAGATGTTATTTATTTATTTGAGGGAGAGAGAGAGAGAGAGAGAGCATGAGAAGGTGGGGGAGGGGCAGAGGGAGAAGCAAACTCCCTACTGAGCAGGGAGCCTGATGTGGGGCTTGATTCCCAGGACCCGAGATCATGACCTGAAACAAAGGCAAATGCTTAAATGACTGAGCTGCCCAGGTACCCCTAAAAAAAATTCTTTTTAAATTAAACTAATGGTTGTAAAGATGGTGGAAAAACACAAAACACTGATATAATATTTAGTTTAAAAAGCAGGATACAAAAGTCTAATCACTTTGAATTACAACATAATTTTTAAAACATAAGAGATAAAAGAAAATATATCAAATAGCAGTATTAATTGGGTGTTGGTAGTTGATGATAGGGTTGGGGTGATCTTCAAAAAATTATCAAGTTCCCAATTTTAACACTCTTGTATAACTCTTGCATGTGAAAAAATAAACTATTTAAAACTAAATTATATAATGTGAATTAAAACTTATAGGAGTTTCTAAGAAGATGAGGGAGGAACCTCTTATACTATCTGCCTTTAAATCAAAATATATTTTAGTACCTCCATTATTTAGAAAGTATGACTGCAAGCCATGAATGCAACAACTAAAAAAGTATTTTTTTAATTTAAATTTTATTATTATTTTTTTAAACATATAATATATTTTTATCCCCAGGGGTACAGGTCTGTGAATTGCCAGGTTTACACATTTCACAGCACTCACCATAGCACATACCCTCCCCAATGTCCATAACCCCACCCCCCCAACCCCCCTCCCCCCCATCAACCCTCAGTTTGTTTTGTGAGATTAAGAGTCACTTATGGTTTGTCTCCCTCCCAATCCCATAAAAAGTATTTTTTTTAAAGATTTTATTTATTTGTTTGACAGAGAGAGATCACAAGTAGGCAGAGAGCCAGGCAGAGAGAGAGGAGGAAGCAGGCTCCCCGCTGAGCAGAGAGCCCGATGCGGGGCTTGATCCCAGGACACTGGGATCATGACCTGAGCATAAGGCAGAGGCTTTAACCCACTGAGCCACCCAGGCGCCCCTAAAAAAGTATTTTAAGTAGAAGGCTGAACATCTTATTATTTATCTTATGCTAAGGAACATCTTATTATTCATTACTCCTATTAGGAGTTCCATCTTAAAGTAGTAGCTATCATTTCCTAGAAATAAGTTTTCTGTGTTTTTTTTTTTAAAGATTTTATTTATTTGTTTAAGAGAGAGAGAGAGCACATGCGAGCATGAGAACAGGAGAAGCAGACTCCCCGCCGAGCATGGAGCCCGATGTAGGACTTGATCATGACCTGAGCTGAAGGCAGTCACTTAACCAACTGAGCCACCCAGGCACCCTAGAAATAACTTTTTAATAAAACTCCCTTGAATTAGTCTTCTATGAGTGCTGATATTGTAGGGCAAATGCAAGTTATGTACAATGCATCCTTCTCAAAACATAAATGACCTAGTTAGGGATATGAATATAAGTAAGACTTTAAAGCACGTAAAAGTAATAGTGATTGAGTGCCAACATTGTGTGCATATGTGTATGTCCACCTACATTTCCTTAACAGGAGTATCATAAATGGGACATAGGTACGTGTGCACATGCACATCTGTGCATGCCTGTGTGTGCGTGCAGGGCAGTAACCTAAATAAAAACTGAAGTTCAAATCCACTTTCACTAGTCCTTAATATTCTTTGCTGATTGAGCTCACCAATGAAAAGAAGAACTTGTAATAAAATGGTATTTTCCTTTCAAAGGAGAGAAAAGGAACAAGAAAGCCCAAGCACTTTAGGTATGCTTATGATTCTCTTTTTAAAAAATCAGAGTCCAAATATGTAAGGATGTCTTTAGAGGTGTTTTGAATTTCCTCACAAATGAGTGGTTAAAAATTAGCCTTTATCCACAAATTGTGGCCCAAGTTACCACACCAAACAGTTTAGTGTGGAGAACGGTCACAGGAAGCCCACCAAACTGGCCAGAGTCTGTGTACTAAGGATACTCGTGTCCTTCAATGACTTAGCTCAAAAACACCTTCTAAAGGGGAATAATGTAAATGATCCCCAATATTTTCAATGGTTCCCCAGTGCTTTACAAATAAATCCCAAACTTCTTCACATAGTATTGCAGGGCCCTCCAGAATCTGCTCCCCAATTAGTTCTCCAAGTTCAAAGCCCCTGTGTTCCAGGAAAAGGGCATTGTTCACCTTTCCCGGACTCATCTAGCCATTCAGACCTTTGCTCATAGCGCTCACTCCACCCTGATCTACCTCAGGTCAGCTGAAAGGTCCCCTCCTCCACAAAGCCTTACAGAGCTGTCTGCTATCACATCATCCCTCATCCCCCGACCTGCCACTCAGCACACAGCACTGAAAAGTGCTCTGCATACACTCACTCCTGAAAGGCCCAAATTCTGAGGCCAGTGGTGGCTGCCAGCACTCATCGCCCTCCGTGGGTTTACACTGAGAGGACTAGGAGTGGGCTCTCGGCGGGAGTCACACCTGGACAATGGTCACACCGGCCTATCTGGCTTTTAGGCTCAACATTTTTCTGCCCTCACATTAAAGTGTCCTATCCATTCTCCATTGTTTCTTTGTAAGAAAAATTTCTCTGTGATGTCAACAAACAGAACAGAGAGAGTGATTGCTTACTCACCGCTGTTACCTTGAGATCCCCAAGGAAGTACAAAATTAATGAGGGGACAAAAAGAAAGTGAAAGGGCTTTATGGTACTAATAAGAGCTGCTTTAAGTGCTTTTAGGAGTTGATGGGATTTTTCCCCACTCATTTCTAATTTCACTTCAGAACTTATTTATTCTTTTATAGACTGAAAGGAAAACCACATCGTACTGACCATGTTTATGACTATGGACAGGACTGAGCACGGAAGGGAGCAGACAGGTCAGAGAGATAGGCATCTACGTGGGCGACAGCAGCCAGAGAGCAGGGTGGTGGGTGCAACACAGGCTGAAATAGTGGAGAACCCATGATGAAAAAGAAAGAGCAGAAAAGAAGGACACATGCATCTGGGGGAGAGCAGACTCTCCCCCCGCCCTGCTGAACACGCTCAGCACCCAGACATGCTGCGTGAACCCGGTGAACAGGCACTTTTCTCCTTCTCACTTCCACCACTTCGGGCTTCAGATGTTTCATGCTTCTTTGGATATCGAGGCTTTTATAAATGCGAGTCCTCTGCTGTGACACCCTGCCCCCAAGCTCCCCTCTCACCTCACCTGCTCAAGCTTCAAAGTGCAGCATGCGTGTAGGGCAGAACACCTCTGGAAAGCTTCCTGGCTCCCCCCTTGCTCTCACAGCATCTTATTCTTTTTTTTTCAAATGCTTATTGCAGTTTGTAACTATAGTTCTGATCCATTCTTAAAAGTGTAGACAGCAAACTCCCTGAGGGGAGAGACGAGTGTGCTTTTCTCAGCACCCCATATCATACCCCAGAATTAGGGCAATGCCTGGCACATAGCAGGCACTCTGGGAAGCATGTGCTAAATGAATGATTTAAAAGCTTAAAATATCTGTTTGGCAGCAGGACTTGTTAGAGTCCCCATACACAACAAAATCCCAAGTGCCCAGAATGGCTTCTGTTTGCCTCTCCAGTCTCATCCCTAGGTACCTCCAATGCACAGCTTGCAAATCTGCCAACAAACCACATTCTCTCATTACCCCATGTCTTGTTTCTGATGTCCCCACCTTGGAATGCCCTCTCCCTTCTTCAGGACTCAACGTTGGCATCCCCTCTTCTGGAAGTCCTCCTTGTTCTATGTCAGGCTGATTAGATACTTTTTTTCCTGTGCTCAACCAACACGTTCTATGACAGCACTCACCCACTTATTTACTATACTATTTATTCATATGGTTACTTCTATGTCTCTGCCATTAGACTGAGTTCTTTGAAGTGAGGGATCTGGCTAAGAGTCCTACATGATAAAGTCATGTGTGTGTGAACTCATTAGCAGTATCTAATGCTTGGCAGAATGTATTTATTATGCATACTTGGTCTCTGCTGAGTGAACACACTGAATGGCTACTTTGCAAACAGAAAAGATTGGTCCAGCTCATTTCATGAACCAGAAAATGCTTAAAAGAATGAAATTCACTGTTACCAAACCTTGAATTACCTTCTTTTTTATGACAGGCTCAAATTACTTCAATCATATCTGTGCTGAAAAACAAAGCAAGAGATACTCAGGGAAATGTGAAACACTTACAAGAAGCATCAGCATAAATGATCCCATATAGATGATCAGGAAAAACAATGAAATCATAGTTAGAGTAAGAATTCCACGAATCCACCAGTTTTTCCACCTACAAAGAAAATGTTTATAAAGTTAGTATTTAATGTATTCTTTCTTACAGCTTTTTGTGTGGTTTTAGCATTACCAGACTTATATGGATTTTCGCTAATTCTACTTTAAGAAACCCTTACTTCACCTTATATAATAACCACAAAACAAATACCGAACAAACAGCATTTGTTCACTTACTCAGAGCTAAATTAAGTGTAAAAATTATGTTAGCCAAAGAAAGAAACGAATTTTCGTTCGGTGTGATTAGTCACTAGGGTGACTGATGAATCACTAGGCTAGCCAGTGAGATGGTCAATGTGGATATGCGCACATCCCACCAGGGCATTCAGAACGGAAGAAGTCAGGTGCAAAAGTCCTCCAAAAAGATGCACTATCCTTTAGGGTGGTAGGAAAAAAACAATAATGATTTTATTAAGGTGCTTTAAACAGAGAACACAGACTTCTAATGAGAAAAATTAAAGAAAGGTTAATGCAGAAGTGAAACTGCAGAACACAGCGATTTCAATGAAATGAAAAAGACACAAGAAAGTCACTGAGGTCAAGACCAGACTGATGGTTACTTCCTTCTAGTGCTCAGAGTGTGCTGCTGGCTTGCCTCACTTAGGGACAAGGGCCTTAAGAACGAGAGTGTTTCCTCACCCTTGGGCCTTCGCTTGTTCCTTAGAGGGGAACGTCTCTGCTGTATGCCCTGCCAGGCTGAGACTGATCTCCCTTGGTCCTCTGGCTGCCAGGAAGGGCTGGGGTTTTGCCCAGTGGCCCTCTCTCCACAACCAGGAGACTCACCCTTTATTCCCAGCATACTTTACAAATGTCACTCTTTCTGTGGCCATGTCAGGAAAAATGTCAGCAGCTACAGTGTCAAACTGAAAGGATGCTAATAATACCTATATATGGATGATATTTCTGAATCTAAAATTTCTTCCCCCTGGTTTTATTCATTCTACACTGAACTCACAGTAAAGTTTTTCTTTAAGACCTCTCTGATTTCTATTAATTCAAATGACAGCGTTGAAATTATGTTACAAGAGATCTGGGTTCATCTTAACATATAGTAGCACACACACACACACACACACACACACACACACAATATACACTGTGTTCTAAGCACATGCCTTCATTCTACTGTCTACAAAAAGAAATATTTGCTGACTTCATCCATTTATCAAATATTGATTACACTCCCTGCTTTCAACCACTCTCCTATACAGTCTAGATATTTCTTAAATATCCCTTTTATGATGTCATTTCTGCATTCAAGATCTAAAATGCGAACAATAGTTAATTCGAAACACTTTCATCTAGCTTCCCAGGTTTTTCAAGAGGTGGTCAAATTGTATTTACCCAACTTTATTTCCCTCTACTGTGTAACAAACTACGTAGACTCATAAATTTCTCATGAGACTGTAAGTTTTAGGACTGAACTGAAGTGAGAGGAGAGTCAAAAAATGCTATGGCTGAAAAGTTCCATTTAGTTTTATAGACATAACTCTTTGTGGATTAATGAATAGACTGGGAACTGGGCTAGGTCACAGAGCTAGTCAGAGGTAAATAAAGGACCAAAAGCCAGTCTCCTGATAATAATCCTTCCCTGTTTGCATGAAACCCAGAGGCATATTTAGCTCTCCTTTAAAACTGATCATCTGACTTGGAATTGTTCAGAACCTACAGAAGAGGACACTACGTAAGTGTCAGAAATCAGTGCCCAGGCAGATATTGCCAAGGTCCATGTGTACCTTTGTTAGATGCCTGGCTTTGAACTTCAGAGGATGGTAGCTGCTGAGAACCAGAGATCTTAAACAGAAAACCTACTTTCTTCATATCATCCAAAAATTCCACGGTAACTGAAAACCTGAGCCCTCAAGGAACATATCCTATCTGGTTATCTTTTATATGGCTTTTCCCCCCTCCCAGGAAAATTCCCCTCCCCCAACAAGGGTTAAAGACTTAATTCTCTTAATTATTCTAATGAATTCCCCAAATCTCCTATGAATACCTAATACAAAGTTAAGCACATAAAAGAACATACTTAAACATAACATATATAACCATTGACGCAGTAACTGAAAGTCATCCTTTAAGAGAAAACCACTAAATTCAAAACAGAGCATGATATGGGGGATAAAAAACACTGTGACTAAAAACCAGAGGATAGCCTGATTCTGAATTCAAAATTCTTGATTTCTTGGGGCGCCTGGGTGGCTCAGTGGGTTAAGCCACTGCCTTCGGCTCAGGTCATGATCTCAGAGTCCTGGGATCGAGCCCCGCATCGGGCTCTCTGCTCAGCAGGAAGCCTGCTTCCTTCTCTCTCTCTGCCTGCCTCTCTGCCTACTTGTGATCTCTCTGTCAAAATTCTTGATTTCTTTTGCCATGCTATCATGACCACATAATAAAAGTCTTAATTTTGAGTCCAAGTCATCACCTCAGGATTGCTTTGAGAAAAGGAACTCAGAATCAGTAAAGGAGAACTACATTCAAGTCTCATGTCTCCAGGACCTATGTGAGTAAGAAATGAGATTTCTAAAAAGCATATAATTAAGCAGTAGCCTTAAAAGTGATTATCCAAAGTGGTCATACACTTATTGCTCAAATTGTTCATGAAATGTACCATGTTGTACTGCTACTACAAACATCAAGTGGTTTTTATTTCAAAAGTAATGAGGGGCACCTGGGTGGCTCAGTGGGTTAAAGCCTCTGCCTTCGGCTCGGGTCATGATCTCAGGGTCCTGGGATCAAGCCCCGCATCGGGCTCTCTGCTCCGCGGGGAGCCTGCTTCCTCCTCTCTCTCTGCCTGCCTCTCTGCCTACTTGTGATTTCTCTCTGTCAAATAAATAAAATCTTTAAAAAAAAAAAAAAAGTAATGACAAAGTTTTTTAAAAAAAATTATGTTCCTAGTGGCACAAACATCATGAGTCAAGAATTCGGGTTGGCAAGGCAGTTCACCTGAGCCAAGAACTGGTATACAGAGATACTCGCCAAGAATGAACAAGAATTTTATGGGCCATCTGGCAAAGAGAAGTTTTGAGAAAATCCATCTATCAGCCTTTGGAGGAATTGGACAGGAAGTGTGTAAACTCCCGAGAGAAGGAAAATGCATGATACTGTATAAGAGCACTGATTATGAGGCTATGTCTGGATAGTTCCTTGGCTTCTCAACCTGTGTTAATAACATTCTGAGCCAGAGAATTCTTTGTCACGAAGATGGTCATTATCCTCCCTGGTCTCTCCCCACTGCATGCCAGCTGCACTCTCTCTCTTGACCACTTACAATGTCTCAAATGCCACAAATGATCAAATGCCACATGTCCACTGGTGTGGTCTGGGGAGGTCAGGGCATTGTCCCTGGATGAGAACTACTAACCTAGACTGATAGCTGAAGAAGAGCTTCACTAACAGACAGAACCAGACTTAACTGGTTAATGACTATTCATTCCCACAGACCCACACACAAAGATCACAAAACAGACTGGGACAATTTTCCAAGTAACTGAAAACCTTCAGGCCCCTTCCAATTTCAACAACTTATGCTCTGTTTGATATTACATATTAAAGACTTAAAAATGAGCATAAATCTTAACTTAGCTACAAAGAAAAATGTTTAATACATTTATTATTTAGTTGTTTTTAATCATGAAAATTTGGAAACCAGCTAAATGCCCAGCAAAAACCATTTAGTTGAGTAAACTGAACTATGGTCATACAAAGGAACATACCATGCAGTCATTAAAAATATTTAAGTATATTTAATGATGTTGTTCCTAAAACCACAGAATGAAAATGTAAATAGAAAGGTAAGAAACAATACAATGTTATTTTTTATATTATACACCCCCCACATATTTATACAGAATGCACAAGGAAAAAAAGTTTCAAACAGTAGCTACCAGAATACTATAAATATCAATGTTTGGGGGGAAGGATTACAGGAGTTCCCCCTCCCCATTCATGTACTTTTTTAATGTAATTAGTATTTTTAATCCCATATATCTACAACTTCTAAATCTTTGGAAGACAGACCATTTTGGGTATTCGTTTAAAGAGAGCCTAAAATGAGATAGATTTTGAAACATTCGTGTAGCCCTTAGGGCAAAGTTTGAGAAGACTGAAACTACTTATATTATTATTTATTGTTCATTTTTAAAAACCAATTCTTTTATAAACAGAGCACAATACTTAGGGTCACAATGTGGTTCTATCACTTACTAAATGCATGACCCCTGATACAGAACATTTCTGCGCCTCAATTTCTTCATTTGTAAAACAGGCTTATATAATTGAACCTGTGCTACAGGGTTGCTGTGAGAACAGTCAACGCATGTGAAGCATCTGGAGTAGTGCCCAGCACACAGCATATGCTCAATAAATATCAGCTGCTATGATTTGCTATTGTTCCTTTATACTGAGGGGAACCTCATTATTAGGGAAAATCTACTATAAATAACACACAGGAATCCAGCATCATTCTTATGTAACATTAATATAAAAAAATTTCAGACCTGAGATAGACCTGATAAGATTTTAAAGCAAACGTACATCTGTGAATGAGGTCAGAAAAACTGAGATCAAGACCTATTAAAATAATAATCTTGTTTTTGGTAATGAACAGCAAAAAGTTGTTCTATTAGTTAAAAAATATGAAAACTTCTGTTTGAACCAATTTATTCTAATATGGTTATCTGCTAGGAATTGAAAACAGAAAAACTTACATTACATTTATTAGATATGACTAACCAGTGTTTTTTGTTATGACCTATGGGGTAGTAAAATCAACTTAGTAAGTCACATCCAGCATTTTTGTTCAATAATATAGAATATCAAACAAAATAAATCAGAGGGTATCGTGCACAGTAATACAAGAACTGCTTCATAATATTTTTGCAACTGTTAAAATACACATTTGTGTGTTTCTTGGGATGTGGTGTAAAATGTATCTCCTACTGTGTGTCACAGTCAAAAAAGTTGGAAAAACACTGTTCTATACCAACATTTAAGATTTCACACATTGATCTGGATAAAAGCTTGTATTTATTTTGCTTTTATAAATTTCATAGTTCATATTAGTGAAGCATACAATGGAGGGCAATATAAGAGTAGCTCAAATTTGGTGGTGGCCAAACATTCAAAACCAAAGCAAACATAAATTGGTATATAAAGGGCTGCAGAGTTTTGGTTGATAATTTTAAACTTAGTTAAAAGAAAAAAATGACCTATTTCCATCTGGCATTTGAAAAACAGCGAACAGAGAACACAGAATTTTCTTTATTAGATGTTCCAATACCAGAAAAGGTAACCTGATGTGGTGAATGGATCACTCACTGGAGAAATGTGACAAATTAGGGCAAGAATCCCAGGTCTGCATCATCCTAGCTCTGTAACCTTCCCCAGTTAACCTCTCAGATTCAGTTTTTTCATATTTCACAAGACTGTAAGGACTAAATGAAAGAAGGTACATCAAGCATTTAGTACCATGCCTCACATATGGTGAAAAAGTATAAGCCTTCCTTTCACAGCTCCAAAACTTAGAAAAAGTGAGATTTATGACATCAACCAGCATAACTTCACAACTTCTTTTGAGCACCCAGTCATCTTCCTCCCATCATACCTTGAAGATAAACCAGACAGAGCTTTCTTGAGGATCTCAGGGGTTCTATCTGAAGATAATGGAATTTCAGGAATATCAGAATCTGTTCTGGAATCCAAGTCTCCATATCTGTCATCAATATCTGTTTCCTAAAATTAAAGAAAAAGGAAAATCACTTTGCAAAATTGAAAAAGAAAAAAGGACATGCTTGTCAATGCAAGTGTTTATGGCTCAGTGCGTCAAACCTCAGTTATGTAACTTGAAACAAAGAAACAACTATTAACTTATCTTGATAACCAAGCACTGTTGTACTTCTCTGTTAGGAAAGTTTGTGATATTTGCTAAAATCTATCAATATAAAGGATTAATTTAAACAAAAGACACAAATAGAAACTTCCTATAGTATCTAAATTAGAAATTTATCAACAAGAATCAAACGTTTGTTGTTTTGCTACTTAACGGGGAGAACATGGGGTTAATTCCATGTAAATTCTGACCAACTGTGCACAATCCCTTTTTTATCTGATTACAATCAAAGCATCAACAACAAAAGCAGATTCTTACACTGGCACAGCATTATATACATATGTATATATGTACTTTCACTTCCCTCATTCTTATTAGATCCTCCAGAGACAATCTCAGTGAAGCAGGTCAAACAGACATTATCATCTCTGTTTTACTGATAAATAATTAGGATCAAAAGCATTTGCTTTGATGGTAGTATTTTTTTCACCATAAAGTGAGTTAAAGCCCAAACTGCCTTCTAAGAGTACATGCACAGGAGCTGTGTGTGTATACTGGGGCCTTTAGACAAAGTGGTCACTGTGGAATTTCCAGGGATAGACTGGCCAAGGAATTTTAAGAACACAGCTGCCTGGGGCACTAGGGTGGCTCTGTTGGTAAGTATCTACCTTTGGCTCAGGTCATGATCTCAGGCTTCTTGCTCAGTGGGGAGCCTGATTCTCCCTCTCCCTCTGCCTGCCACTCCCCCTGCTTGTGCTCTCTCTCTCTGTGTCAAATGAATAAAATCTTAGGAAAAAACAAAAACAAAAACGAAACAGAGCTGCCTGATGTTGTTTTAAAGTTGTTTGTTCTGCTGTAACGTGTCTCTACTCCTATGTCTTTCCCTCTCTTAAATTCACCACCACCCAAGCAACCTTGAGTAAAGAGTGCTACACATATGTGTGCTTTAGGAGAGTGGTTTACAGATGGGTAAACTGAGGCAAAGGGGGCTGAACTGGGGAGGATGAAAATATAGGTGAATACAAGTAGAAGGAGCACTGAGCAGAGCACTGGGCCACAAGTGATCCTAGGAATGAGAGTGCCTAGGAATTCAGAGTGTTCAGGAATTTCAAACCCAGCTCCGTCCCTATGGGCAACAAAATTTTGGTAAATTTCATTACCCCTTTTACCTGTTTCTTCAACCATAAAATAAAAGCATTTAATATAATGCTGAGGCCTAAGTCAAAGTAGTAGTAAGCTATGATTATGATTGAACCAAGTCTTCCAATTCCTCATTAAATAGCTCACCAAATAAAATTTTAGCCTTGGGGGAGTATTTTCAGTTTTCATAAAGCAGTAATAAACTTTCATTGACTAACTATAACTTTCTTATTAAACAATTATTAAATTAAATGTGTCATTATACCAAATATGACAAATGAAATAGACATGCTGAATTACCACTGTGACAGAGTCAGCTGTCCCCAAAGCAGCTTAAACAGAGAGAGATGCTGACTAATAAACCACCAGACAGAACATCCCCTGAAAATCTCAGAGCACCTGCTGTCAGTCTGACTTGCCAGCATGTCTTTGACATCCAGAATAATGGAACACATGACTTTCTCCCCACCCTCCCTTTTCTCTGCTACTCTTCTTTAACCTTCAGTAACTCGGTGTTGCTGGCATGGTGTGAGCAGTAGTAGAGATGGTGACTAATGGATGTGGCTCCCTAAGGCAACGTCATCATGTTGCCCAAAGAGCATGACTAGGAACCACAAGTTGCTGGCACTAATTTCACTTCTACTCTATTAGTGTGATGAAACACAAATTACTTAACCCTTTGGTTAAGATACTCAGCCTTTGGTTGCCCCATAAAACAAAAGCATTGCGCTGTAACACAAACTGCACTCCTTCAAACACTAAAGCTCTCAACAAGCCACTTGAAATTCTACTTGGCAATAATGGTGACGTGCCACAAGCCCCCTCGCATGCACACGTTCTCCAATAGCTGCTCTCCTTTTATTTTTATTATTTAAACTTCTGATTTCTATTTTACATACCTTAGAGAAACACAAAATGAAACACTTAAGATTTAACTAGGCTTCTTCAATTCCAATTAGTAACTAAGGAATAAAAGATAATTCTGAAATAATGACATTTTACAGCAACGTTACTCAATACTGCAGTGAACAGCAGAGACTCTCAGGTTTCTCTGTTTCTTGTATGGATCCTCTATTACAAAGACACCAAAACTGGCAAGGAAAATGAGTGTGATTGGAGATCCCAGGAAAGAAGGAACTAGTACTACAATGATCAACTAGAGCCATGAAGCAGAACATAAAATGTTTAAGAAGACCAAATTAGGGGCTTTTTCTCAAGCCTGTAATATAAAGATGACAATTCTCCACTTTTCCTCTTATGCCCTGTTCTCTTCCAGCCCTATACCAGGTGATTCCATGGTAGCTTGCCTCTTCATCTCTCTGTGAACTCAATAATTCCCAATAGACCTGCATCTCTAGCTTCCATTTCCGGGTGTGTGGGCATTCCATGAACATCATCTGAAATCCAACATAAGCAAACCGACCTATTGTTTCCACACCAAACCTGCCCGTTCTGTATCCCCTACTTAGGTGAAAACACCACCACCAAAACAGTTCAACAATTAACTCAGGTTTGAAACTTGGCTATCGACTTAACACCTGCAATTCTTTGTACCAAAACTCATTCAGTTGGGCCCAAGCCTATCATTCATCTTTCCCCTCCCTCTCCATCCTCACCCACTGTTCAATCCTTGCTGAGCATCACCCTCTCTCAGCAGCTCATCCCCCTGCTCTCTCTAATCCATTCTTTTTAAAGATGTACTTATTTGAGAGAGAGAGAGAGAACATTTGCACGGGCAGGGGCAAGGGCAGAGGGACAGGGAGAATCTCTCTCTTTTTTTTTAAGATTTTATATATTTGAAAGAGAGAGGGAGAGTAAGCATGAGAGAGAGTGAGAGAGAGAGAGAAAGCCAGCAGGAGGAGAGGTGGAGGGAGAAGCAGGCTCCCCACTGAGAAGGGAGCTTGATGCGGAATTCCATCCCAGGAGCCCATCACGACCTGAGCCGAAGGCAGCTGCTTAACCAGCAGAGCACCCAGGCACCCTGAGAGGGAGAATGTCAAGCGGACTCCTTGCAGAGCAGCGGGCAGCTCAGTCCTACGACCCTGAGATCATGACCTGAGCTGAAAGCAAGCATCGGATGCTTAATCAACTGAGCCACCCAGGCATCCCTCTAATTCATTTTCAACATAAAAAGCATCTTTATTAATTGCAAATCTGATTTATCACTTTACCGCCTATCAAAATTACCAGGATAAAGTCAAACTACTTAGCATTGTTTTTACTGTTTTTCACATGGGACCCTGCTCTTCCAGCCACTGTTTGATGACTCCCCAGTTTTCACACATAGAGAGTGCCATCCTCTCTTGAATCCATATGTTTGTTCTACGTACAAAGTACAACTTGTACTTTCTCTCTTGGTCTCATCCCAGTTCCAATCTTCTCTTCCCCATTTCTCAAACCTAGCTACTGCCCACTCATCCTCTGACCTCAGCTTCAAGGTTGTTTCCTTTGGAAATGTCCTCCCTCTTCCCTGACCCCCAGCTTCAGGTTGGCTGCTCTTCAACTGTGTTCCCACCATACCCCTAATTCTTACTTATTAGTTTATATTAAAGTTATTTGTTTGGTTATCTTCATTTTCCAGGAGTCCATAGCCTTTGTGAGAAGAAGAAAATACATTCACTGGCTGCCCTCTTAAATCCCAAGAGGCCAGCAGAGGAACTTGTCCCCATGGCTGACATAATAAGAAGTTCTCATCTGTTCTTGCTAGCTGAGTCTTGGTCAAGTTACCTCATGCGGGACCTCAGATGCACTTATTTATGTAAAATGAAGGCTTCTGACCACAAAGGACTACTATTTTCCAAATATTAAATTTTAATGAAAATATGTCTAGGAAATGACGGCTGAAAGTTGAAGAAATCAATTTCTTTATTACCCTGTAAATTTAATTTCTATAGTACAAGTAAACTTAGAAAATAAGAGCAAAACACTTTAAAAACACTGATTTAAGTCTTTGCTAAATTTTTGGCTCATTCTGATTTCCCCCAATGACACCCAATTTCATTATACATTAAAATCATACATCTTACATTTTCATTCATATGGGTTTTAAGTTCCAAATCAGAAGTAAAGATCCCTGAAGGCAAAATCCATGGGATAATACAAAAAAAAACTTAGAAATCTGAGAAGTTCTATTCAAAGGTAAAATATTACTAACACCACAAATTTGCATTCTATCTGAAATCATAATTAGTGCTGGGCTCTCCATCAGGCTAAGGGCTAAGAGAAATAATGCCTTTAGCTCTTCTTGCCTTTTGGAAGGAAGAACAATTTACGTGCACTAAGGGTGATTAAACCTGTCCTTGGATATTTTCTGCAATGTGTGAACCTTGACTGGATCTTGGTTTGAAGGGAAAGGGCAGAGGAAGAGGGGAATCTCAAATACACACTTGGCAGCAAATACGAAAATATGAATATGGACTGTAAATAGGAAAGTTAATTTTTTTAGATAACAATAATGGTATTGTGGTTACAAAGGAGACTGTCTTTAGGAGATGCATGATTTAATATTAGAAGTGAAGAGCGACAAGGTCTTCAACTTATTTTCAAATAGTTCATTAACTAAATATTAGCATATGCATATATGGGAAGATAAAGCAAATCTGGCAAAATCTTAACAATTGTTTAGTCTAAGTGCTAAGTGTACAGATAATCACCATACTAGCCTTTTAACTTTTCCACCGTAGAAACTTTTATAATAAAAAGCTAGGAAGGGGCGCCTGGGTGGCTCAGTGGGTTAAAGCCTCTGCCTTCAGCTCGGGTCATG